GCTAAAAAACACTAAAAGACAAAATTAGTAAAAAACCAAAAAAAAAAAAAAACAAATCCAGACAAAATTGTCACATCAAATCCATAATCATTTCACTTTTCTCTCACAAACATCACATCCAACTACAAAAAAATCCAACTATCTTCCCAAACACAAAAATTTTAAACCTCCTAAAATTAATCAAAAACTAAAAAAACCTACTAAAATAACTTCCCAAACACCCACTATGTTTCCTCTGATTCTGTGCTCATGAGCATACCAAACATATTGAGGTTGCATACATTTTATTAGAGAAAAGGTTTGGACTGGTCTTGTGAGTCCTTCCTTTGTCTCTTCTTCACAGCAATTAGCAATCATGTTTACCCAAGTCCGTGGGACATCTTTGCTTCAGTCATCCATTGCCATGCTACGTTTATCAAATATCTTTCAAGCCAGTTTGAGGGGGAGTGTTGAAATATAATACACAGAATATTCTAGAATAGGACCCTTTTTTGTTATAGTCATTGTTTAGGCCTGATTTTAATTCATTTTCATGTTATTTCCTATCTTGTACAGTTTTCCTAAATATTGTCATATATATATATTCATGGGCTGACCTCAATTGAGATTAAAACCAATTCATTCTTTTTAATTCTTCTTTGAAACCACTTTTCTTTCTCCAAATCAGATCTATTCACTTAGAGGCATCTTCTCACCTTTCTCCTTTGAGATTAAGTGTACAGCTTGTCAAGGACTTCGTTAGTAAATCATCGTTCACCCATCGACTTTTGGGGTTTTCTTGCTTCATCCTTCTTGCTTTAGGTGTAGGGGTATGCTCTTTTAGCTTTGTTATAAGTTATTTTGATAAACAAGATTGGAGAAATCTAAGGTTTGCTTGAGATATATATATATATATTAAGTGCATAAAAAGGGGCTTCTCTCGGGTTTGCTTGTTGTAAATAAATGTTCCTTTGGTTTAACTTGTGTACTTGATTTTTGAAGAAAATGGAACTTTGAGAGAGAAATCCAATTTTTCTATAAAAACCTAGTTTGATCTTGAGGTTTTTGAAAAGAGGTTTGGATTGGAAATATTATAAACCTTTGGAAATGAATGATTATTGATTACTCTTTTTGAAATATTGAGATTCATGAGACTCTTGAGGAGTGTCGAATATTGACTATTGAGATTTTGGAAATCATGGAGATCTTCGGATTTTGACATCTTATTGGATTATATCATCGTTGTTTATGCTTTAATTTTGGAATTAGGATAATTGTTTTGGCTATCGTGAATTAAAAAAAAAAAAAAAAAAAAAAAAAAAAAAACTTCCCAAGCACCTCCATAATGGCAGACTTGTTATTACAAAATAAAGAGGAAGGAGCAGTCTTAGTAAAACCTAACTCTATTAAAATAGAGTGAAGCCAAAGAAGCGCACATGTTCCTTGGGCCATAACTCGATACTCAGCTTCTGCAGACGACCTAGACACAACTGCTTGCTTCTTACTTTTCCGTGATATAAGATGATCACCATAGAAAGTACAGAAGCCAGATGTGGAACGTTGATCAGTTCTAGATCCCTGCATAATCGGCATCGGTGAAATAGGAGAGTCCAGATTGAGACCAGCTGTGAAAAATAGTCCCAAGCCATGAGAAGTCTTCAAATACTTCAAAATATGACGAACTGTGTCAAGATGCTCTGTACGAGGTGCATGCATAAATTGACTCATAGCACTAACCGCAAATTTCAAGTCAAGTCTAGTGTTGGTCAAATAAATAAGACGACTTATAAGACGTTGACACATGCCAGGGTCATCCAACAACTCACCAGACTTTGATGTGAGCTTGACATTAGGATCCATAGGAGTAGAAACATATTTACACCCTAACATACCAGTATCCTTAAGCAAGTCAAGAGTAAACTTTCTTTGAGACAAAGAAATTCCTTGTTTTGAGTGTGCAACCTCAATCCCCAAAAAATACTTGAGACTTCCTAGGTCCTTGATATCAAAAGTCTGACCCAAGTTCTTTACTTGACCAATGTCGGCAAAGTCATCACCTATGAGAATAATGTCATCTATATAAACCAACAAGATGATACACTGTCTGGCAGAATTACGCTTGATGAAACAAGTATGATCTAAATGGCACTGAACAAAACCCATGGAGATGATAACAGAATTGAAGCAACCAAACCATGCTCGTGGAGACTTTTTCAAACCATATAGTAATTTGCGTAATCGACACACTTTTCTCGAATACTCCCCTTCAGCCCAAAAACTGGGTGGAGGATCCATATAAATCGTCTCAAGTAGATCCCCATGAAGGAACGCATTCTTGACGTCAAGCTGATAAAGAGGCCAAAAATGTGATGCTGCAAGAGAGATGAGGAGACGCACAAAAGTCAGCTTGGCAACAGGGCAAAGGTGGTGGCAAAACCCTTGCCAAGAATCTATGTGAAACCTTTGGCCACCAAGCGGGCCTTGTAACGGTCAACTGAGCCATCTGCAAGATACTTGATAGTGAATACCCACTTGCAACCAACAGTGCTTTTCACAGGAGGAAAAGTATAAGATCCCAAGTATGGTTCTGTTCTAAAGTTGCCATCTCAGTCTGCATAACCACTATCTATTTGGAATTTTGAAGGGCCTCTGACACAGAACAAGGAATAGACTCCAAGTCAAGTTTGCCAAGGAAAGATAAGAGCTCTGTTATCAGAATCTTACAATTCGCGATTCGATTCACGATTCGATTCGCAATTTTTGCAAAATCGATACGAATCTAAGAGTGAATCTATTTTGGAAGTAAATCTCTAGTGAATTGCACGATTCACAATCGATTCACGATTCGATTCACTTTTTACGATTCATGCAATTTTTAAAATTATTGTGTCCGACATATTTTTGACTCTATTTTTCCTCCATCTTTTTAGTAAAAATGACATAATACAACTTCTAATAGCGTTTAATACTAAAATAACCAACATATATACATGATTTGTTGTTATTTTAGTGATCATGAAGTTTTTAATAAGATCCAATTAGATTTACTCAGACCCAACATATTTTTAACTTTTCTTCTCATTTTTTTTTCCCTTTAAAAAATCATAATATATCTTCTAAAGATGTTTAATATTAAAATTACACTATGAATTATCTATTGCTATTTTATTAAATTAAATATTACATGTATAACGTCAGTTATATTTTTTAAAATATTTGAGGTTTTAAAAAAAAAGATTCTAAATGATTATTTCTTATTATTTGTTCACTGTTACTTAGAAAAGTATGTATGCTTATTGTCCAAATATCAATATCGTTGTTAATTATTATTACTTTAGAAATTGATAGTTTGTCTATTTGGTTATTATTTTTATTAAGAATGGTTGATAAGAAATATCTAAAAAAAAAAAAAAAGATAAGATGGTGATCTTCCATAAGAACGTTTGTTAACTTCTTACTTATTAAATTACGTAATTATCATTCAAAATAATATTTTTATTTATTTAAGTCTAAATATTTTATATTCATAAGATATATTTAACATCTAAATGTGTAAATATATGTTTTTAAATAATTTAGAAGAAGTGACTGAATCTTTACGATTCACGATTCGATTCGATTCACGATTCAGTACAAGACCATTTCGATTTACGATACGAATCTCGATTTGACAACTATGGATAAGAGTCGAAAACTCTGTCATAGGAAAGATACTGGGAAATGGGATGATTAACACTACTCAAA